TAAATAAAGAGAGGTTGGTTTGTCTCTATTTTTTTTATATTACAAATATTTGTGGAATTTTCACATGTTCTCCTTCTAAAACTTGGCTATTTGAAAATGCTCAGAGAGCTTTGAGAAAAACTTCAAGTTTTAATGTTTTCTCTGGAAATCACAAAGTTCATGACTTTGCAAAAAACGGGCAAAAGACATTACACAGTTTAAATAATTTTGTCATTTCACCTTAATGTTTCACAAAATATTTAGAGGAAAAATGTTACACTTGTTGAACTGGGCAATAACATCCTTGGGAGTTTATTATCTCTACTTTTGTGTGTTTTTGTAAAATTTCCTATGATTTTAAAAAAATAGTTGGTTTATATTTCATGATAAAGCATTCCATACACTTACTTCATGTCAATTACTTAGTTATCAATATTTTCATATTAGCAAAATACACAATACATTTCTGAAAATGTTAAACTGCAATTGGGGTAGGTTTTGTTCTTTCTTTTCATGTTTTTTGAATTTGAGAAAGCTTTAATTAAGGATTAAAAAAAGAGACAGAAATGTGTAGATAGAAGACCTGGGTTGGAGATGAACGTGGCCACTTAGCTGAACCAATTAGTTAACCTGTTCTGGTTTCCCTTTCCTTTTCTTTGAAGTGAGAATGTTAAGAGCTGCCTTAAGTCTCTCATAGAGGAATGGGACGGTTTAGGAACGTCTGTGGCAGTACCTTACGAAGTGACAGTCTACAAATGTTGTTACGTTTAAAACATGTTTGAGGCCAATGGTAGAAAGGAGGCCTCAGATGGAGAAAGGCTTCATGCTAGATCTAGCAAAACAAATGTCTGGAAATTAAATTTGGAAACCAGGGTGGAGTAGGTGAAACCTGCCCCCACGTTAAGATTCTTTGACAGGTTCATGCACTGGACAAATGCTCATTTTGCATCATACATTGCCACATACTCAACAAATTAGTGGACATATTTTAATGTGTGAACACTCTTCGACATTCTCATTTTGGTTCTTTTTGAGTGGAAAATCAGAGCAGTACACTGGACCGCATTTGGGGCGGGGGGGAGTATGGGTGTGGGTTAAAATATCAAAGTAGCAAAACCATGCTGACTTTGAAAGGTTGAAAGACCTAAATGAGAATTCTGTTAACACTGTTAGGTTGATTTCCAACACATATGCATCATCTCACCAAAAACATCATTTCAAAAGAGTTTAGGAGGTTATCAAGAATTAGAAATTCGCAACCCCATTTCTCTATCCAAAAGTCACCAAATGTGTCCCAGGACATGAATTAAAGACTCAGTCACCATACGGAAAACTTCTTATTTGAATATCACACAAAGGCAAGTATTTCAGATTGAACTCACAGTAGAAAAATACTGTTGAACATTTAATTTGGTGCAAAATACGTCACTTTAGAGTTTGTGTTTACTTTGCAAGGCAACAAATACAATATACTGCTGTACCACATTCCCCCATCAGCCATTACCATAGAGAACAGGGCCCACGTGAAGAGCTTTTGATCAGAATGGATATATTAGCCGCTGAGAATAATTGACAAGAAAAGGTGACTTAGTACACAACCTTGGTACAGGACAAGAAAGTGTAATTGAATTTTGGTAGTGTTCCTTTGATCAAATTAAATTTGGGACATGTATGTTCCACGTAAATAGGGTAATGTAAGAAAGTCTTAAAAATGTTGCTCATCTTTTAAGCATTAATTTCAAACTATTTTTATTTAACATTTGTTAAACAGGTATAGTATCCTGGACATAGACCTTCTACTACATTTCTTTAATTAGGGTACTATATATTTTATAAAAATGTGCATATTAGTAGATTGTAGTTTAGCCTTCGTTAAAAGACATGCAAGTATTTAGTATTTACATTAAAAGGATTGCCTCAGAAGAAACAGTAAATCCATCATATGCTCCCTTAAAAAGTAAAAAATATTTATTTATAAGGTAGACTATATTTTGATATTTTCTGATATTTTAGATATAGTTATTTTTGGTCCTCTGTTGGTTTTCACACTATCATGCAAATTTCCAACTTCTTTTAACACAATAGTCCTATTTCTATGAGCTGTATTATAGGGAATACACATTTTAATTACTCTTTCTTGAAAATATCACCAGGCAGTTCAGAATATCTCGTTTATTCAGAATATTGTGACAATCAAGGACCTTAATACCAGCCAGATGCTAACAATTGGGAATAGGGTTGAATTTAATAATGGCATGTATAGGATTCTTATTTTTACTTAATCTTGAACCATTTGAAGATGTTTTCTATTCAAGCTATGTATTCTTAGATAAACACATATATAGATATCACTACTTTGGAAAAAAAACCCACTTCTTTTAAGCTCAGAATTCCTTAGTACTAAATGCAAATCAATACACGTTTTATACACAGTATGTACAGACTTTTGTCATCAAGCGCCACACAACTAGGGCACACATATCAGTTACCTTGGTTTTCAAACGTTATGTGTCAACTCTGCATATTGTGTGGCAAGGAGATACTATCAACATTATTTTTTGCATAATGTGCAAGTATTATATGGCCACAGAGTGTAATGCAAATTAGTGGCAAAGTGCTGAGTGAAAGAATCCATGACAGATTCAGATGTACAAGGTTGAATATTACCCGTAAACTACCTGACTCTGCTAAGGTCTTAACAGCACAAAGCACTGTGTCATGCCCAACTTTTAAAGTCTTTGAAATACTTGGACACAATGGAACTTTTTACAGGAATTTTACCATAGCCACAGGTAACAAGAGGACTGGCATGAACAGAGGTAAATGCCTTTGGGAGACAGATATGGAAGATTACCTGGGCCAATCATTCAAAATGTGCTATCTTTCTTGAAAACAATCTTACTCCATCGCACATGCCAGGGTTGGGGAAAGAGGGGTTAAAATATCAAATTAGCAAAACCATGCTGACTTTGAAAAGTTAAAAGATCTAAATGAGAATTCTGTTAACATTGTTACGTTGATTTCCAACACACACTCATCATTTCACCAAAACATTATTTCAAAAGAATCCAGACTATCAAGAATTAAAAATTTGTAATCTCATTTCTCTATCCAAAAAAGAATTATCAAATGTCATACCTATTTGACACCTTATGTTAAATGTTAGTCTGATTTTTAAAAAGACATTAATTCTACTCTGTTGTACCTAGTCTTTATCCTTAAATTTGGGGAAGAGGAAGATACTTTTTATTTTACAGTTTTGTAATAGTTCCTATTTTTTAATACATGAAATATAGTTTCTATTTTCTTGATTCAAATTTCTTTGGCTCAAATGATAACTGTTTTGAACTCTACCAAGTAAAAGCATTTTAAAATTATTTTATAATTTAATAAAAAGAACTGGAAACTTTTTCAATACAATTTTAAGTTTGCAACAAACCAGCTGCCTTTAGAGCTCAGCTATGCTTTGAAAGTAAGTTCAATTTTAAAGCTTTATTGGGAGTTTATAATGATCCTATTTCAATTTCCGAAGCAAAAGTTCACCATTTAAGTTACCCTGGTGCCTACCAATGAGTTCTTGGGGTCTGAAGAAATAGTTGGCAGAGAAGAGAAACAATTCCAGAACTAGGTCTTAAGGAACCAAGATACCCACCCCTACTAACATCTAGGAAAACTTAGAAAGAGGAAGCAAAAAATAAAGGGAAAATGAAACCAAAAACAAACAAAACCCCAAAGTGCACCACTGGTCTGGATCCTTCCTGTGATCATTAACACAGTTCATTTTCTACCCAGGCATTTATTTAACTGCAAGAATTTTGAAAACTTGTGATTAAATTCCAGGTGTTTTCTTCACGTAGAGTTATGCCATACACAACCAAGTGAGCTCAGAGTTATTAACGTATTCCATCTACAACTTGTTAAAAAAATGAGGCTTACTAAAGGGGGTTTTATACAGAAGGTCCATTTTCCCCCGTACTTAATGTTATAATTAAATGGCCTTTAAAAGTATTTGTACATTGGCTTAAGGAAACGTGTTGCCAAAATCAAAGTATTTGTGAAATAAATGTAGATGAATCCATTCTAAGCAACTTACTGCTACAGACTGGATTTATGTTATTGTTGGAGTGTCTTTTGACCATCCTGTCTTTGTTCACGAAGCAAAACGTTAGCCAAAAACAGGTTATCATCTTCATTGTGAAATTTCATACCTATTTAAAAATGAGTATGTGTTTGTGATTTAAATTTACAGTGTTTCAAGTGACTTTTCAATTGCTCTTTTTATAATCAGTAAAATAGCATCAGATGAGTATTAACATGTGCCTAAGAGGGCCATCCTTTGACTCTTTCTAAAGTTACTTCACATAAGCAGACAAACCCTACCATGTCATACCATACAAACAATTTTAATTGTGTAGTTACAGTCAATAACCACTCCTAATCAGAACATTTCTGCATAAAGAAAATTGTGATACACTTATAAAAACAGCCAGCTGTAACAAAATAGCTGGTGTTTTCATAGCCATAAACTCATAAAAAAGAAATACACCTTTATACAGAAATTTTATACAGATGTAGCTTTAAAATTGATTGTAAACCAAAGGAAGACACATTGCAAACATCAATTATTTTCACATTAATTGCATAATTTTCTAAGGTGATCTATTAGTTTTATTTACCTAAGCTTATTTGCATGATAGTAAAAATTGCATACAACAATAAGAGTGAAGCTTATAGTATGAATTGCTTGGATAACATAGAGCACTTTTTATAGGCAACTGTGTAAAGCACATTTTCTCTATTTAAAACTTTTAAGACACTTTGTTTTACTGCCCATCAAAATACATTTATAAATAGAAAAGAATCAGTATGGTAACAAGAGAAGCAATATTACATTTAACGGAAACTTCCAAAAAATTAATTACAACATGATGCTGCAGGATCTACAAATAAATAATGAGGACTAAATTGTGTTTCACATTTTCTTTTCCTTTTTTTTTTTAAAAAAAATGTAACAATGAGAATGAAAAAAAATTACAGTGAACTTTTATTTCCAAAATAAAAACAAATTTGAATTACGGCAGTGCCATATAATACAAGGCATTTGTTGGCATATGTCATCTTTAAACTGCATTCCACAGTCTATAGTTCTTTTGTAACATACAATAGAGTAACAAACTCTTTTATTCTTTTGTTTTTTTTAAAATAAGGGGCGAGTTTCCAAAGATCAGTGTGGAGTGCTACAGAAATAATTAAAGGAGAGGAAATCATAATCACAGAAGTTATAATGCTTGTTTGAGGCTCCAGAATAATAATAATTAAAAAAAAATCACTGGTTTCATGCTTACGGGGTACACACCTTGGTGTGTCCCGTGAACACAAATTTTAATACCAAACAATCCTCAATGCTTCACCTGGGGCTGCCAAGCAGTTTGTAAAACAGAGTAAAACATTTAGTGCAGTCTGTATTATCCTTTCCCAACTTTTCTGTTTGTGCAAGTTTCTGAAGATTCATTGGCCAAACAATGAATGACAAAGGTCTTCTGAGAGAATACAAGGTGGACTTTTCATTTTGTTACCAAATACCAGTGGCACTGTTGAGTGAAAATAATACTTTTATCTCAGTCTTTCAAATCCGCGTTAATGTCTGTATTTCCTTCCACCGATAGCTCCTCTTCTAGTTTCACTGAAAAAAGGGTGTTAGCATTTTTATCTTGGACACTCTCCTCTAAATCCTTAAGCAATTCCTCTTCTTTGTACTCTGCCACATCCACCTCTAGACCAGAATTGTCCTTCAGTTTGCCATGGTGCTTGAGATAATACCGCTGGTTCTGAAAGAACTTGATGATGGTGTACTTGGGAAGGTCAAGCTGGGCGGACAGAGTCTGGATGGCCTCTTCATCCGGATACAGGCCCACGTCTTGTATGAAACTCTGAAGGATTCCCAGGGCTTCCACGGAAATTTTTGTTCGTGGCCGGGTCTTCTGCCGGTTCTCGTCGTCTGACTCTGCGGACGAGGCCACGGTGGGCTGCCGTGGGGGGAGGCGGGGGCCGGCCTGGGGCTGTGGCTGCGGCTGCGGAGGGGGAGGCACCTGCTGCTGCTGCTGCTGCTGCTGCTGCTGTTGCTGCTGCTGCTGCTGCTGAAAGGAAACAAACAGACAATCAGAGCTCTGCTTTCTCGGGGTGCCACACAAAGCTGTCTAGGGCTAGAACAGTGGCTACCAATTCCACATACAGCTTCTATGATAGGGACAGAGATTCAGAAGGAAAAGGCAGGCCAGCTAAATGGGCCACAGCATTTAGGAAAAAAAATATCAAAATGAGGTATGAACTGATACAGCTCTGGGGGGTGTGTGTGGGGGATGGTTACCGTGCTGACTTATCAGTGATCAGTGGAGGAAGCGAGAACTCGGTGCTCTGAAAACATAAGCCATAAACCCCATCAGAAGGATACGCATCAAAGGCGAAGACAGCAGATCAAATGATGATGTAAATAATTAACAAAGATTTAAAATGAAGATTTGAGGAGCAGAGATTCCAAAGACATTTCAGAAAGGTGAGCTACAGTGTAGAGGGGAAAGAGACCTGTATTCTGCTCCTTTTCATCGGTTAAAACGTGGAACAAGAATAGAGGACGAGTGTCTGGTCTTATTCAGCTTTATCTCTTCTAGTCCAAAGGGTTTTTGAGATTTTCACATTTGTGCATTTGCTATCAGGCAGTTCCTATTTAATGCACACATAATTTCTTACCAAACTGCACTAGGCTGACATTGCAAGATCTTTTTCTTACCCCAAAATAAAGGTTCAATCCGCTGTATGACGGCTAGTGATTGTTTTGTCTATAGTAAAGTCAGATGTGATTAGGATTTAAATTTAGTGTATATAGACAGTTTTTCATAATTAGTATCTGTACATGTGCAGTAATTTCCACACACAATTATACATAACAAATTTGTGACACATGCACACGCTGTATACTCGATATCCGTAATTCTTATCAGCAAAGCAAATCGACCTGAGCCCATGGCAAAATATTAGAAGGTTTATACTGTGCCTGAGCATTTCCTTCTATCCCCCTAAGAAGCAATTTTAGCAAAAACAATTTACATGTTCTAACAAGTACTGTTTTTTATTACTTATATATCTTTCTCTTTCTTGTTTTTGCTAAACTGCTAAGTTTTCTAGGCTTTCAATATTATTTTAGGACTGGATATCCTAAAGGAATGCGCTTTGTCAATTTGTTATATCTTTAATCCACACTCAATAATGTTTTTGTCTTGGTAGATAGATAACTCTATTATTATTTTAGCTATATACAAGTGTGTGTGTGTATATATATATATATATATTTTTTTTTTTTTTCCCCCCACAGCAATACCAAGAAATAATGCAAGTGATTCAACAAAGATGGTAGAATTTTAGGACTCTAAAAGACAATGGCATTGAAGGAAAAAGCTAAAACATCCCTTTAGATTTAACAGAAATGAGTAATACGGCTCAAGTTCAATCATAAGCAAGGGAGGCCATAAGAACACCAACAAACTACCTCATCTCAGAACTTTCCAGACTAAATTCACAAGGGAGTTCCTTCAATGGATGAATAGAGAAAAGTCCTGTGACATGCCAACCCAAGTGCAAAGCGGAATCCCAAGGCCAGGAAGTGTCTGGCCACAGGTCTGCTTAGCACATCCTTTGCAAGTCTGAAAATCGAGACCCAGGGACCAGGTCTTTACGCCACCCCCTCTGTGTCTCCCTTTCTTGCTGGCAGAGGTAACTTGTGCCCGCTCACCTGAGGAGCAGCACCGAGCCATGGTGCAGGGGTCGGCAGGCCTGGCAAGAAAACTCCTCTAGACTCTCCTTTCCCAAGGGTGGTGGGAGAGGGGCTCTAAAGGAAAGACAAACAGACATGACTCACCCCTAACCTGCGTTCTGTGAGGGTGTGGGGAGACAGCTACAAGGAGCAAGAAGGGCCACCACGAGTACAAAGCAAGATTCCAACGAGGCATCCCTCCCCTCTGCTTTTTGGACCGGAACCAAAATATTAAATTGTGATTCTACAAATTTCCTCTACAGCAACAGCAGTAATTCTTTTTCTTGGGGGCAATATGGTATTAATTAAACCATGTGTGTAGGTGGTGTTTTTGATTCTCAATTTAAAAAAAAAAAAACAGTAACAAAAATGTTAAGTTCTCACACATGAACCCAATACTAACAAAAACATGCTTGCCAATCAAGAAGTCTTAAATGGGGGATTCCTATCACTCTGGGGGTAGGGAGGTGGGAGGTGAGGGTCACAAAAGGTATGTTCCTTTTCCTTTTATCCCCCGGAGCAACATGGCTTTGCATGGTTATCTCTTGCTAAAAAGCCTATGTTTAGACTGGCAGGAAGAAGAGAAACACTAATTTCCCTGCTAAGTTTAAAGCTTTATTTACTTATTGCGATATTGAATTGGCCAAGGTAAACGAACCTGAATCTGCTCTGCTGGAACATGGATAATATGGGGCGGCCTGTCGCCATGGTGATGCACCGCGTTGCTCTCCTGTTCATAAATGGCATCACGTTCTGGCTGAGGAAGACTGAGGAACCTTCGGATCATGGAGAGGTTCTCCCACAGGGTCCTGTTTTCTGGAGAAGGATCTTCTTTCCAGCGTAACAGCTCGCACAACCATCCCTTAGAGACAAGGGCATAATATGTCAGTCCCTGGCTATGAGGGGGGCAAGCATTCCCGTTAGAAGCTAAGAAGGAAAGATGCCATGAATTAACTTTTTCATAAACTCTAGATGCTCCAATCTCCTCTAAATCCTTTTTTTATTTTTTTTTAACCTGTTAAAAGAGGACAGCTGTGGCTATTAAGGAGGCAGGCTCTGTTTTTCTTTTTCTATAATTATTATTATTATTTTCAGAGACAGTTGGTAGAGTGCCGTGGCGTCACACAGCTCACAGCAACCTCCAGCTCTTGGGCTTAAGCAAATCTCCTGCCTCAGCCTCCTGAGTAGCTGGGGCTACAGGCACCCACCACAACCAGCTCAGGCTCTACTAAGTACTTCTAATATCTTAAAGGAAGAACATATCTGTCAGATTCCAAGGGCTAGAGAGCATTTGTCATGGACTTTGCAATACATGAAACAGAAAGACAAAGTTGAGTGTGCTTTCTTGTCTAATGAGTGACTATCTGTGGATAGTGAAGGTACTTAAGAATGAGCAAGACAGATTTTAGAAATACGCTTTTTTCTAAACGGATTTCCCAAGCCTGTCATTTTTGCAGTAGGAAGGACACTATGTGAAGATATTTGTGTGTGTGTGTGTGTGTGTGTGTATGAAAGAGAAAGGGCACGTGAATTGTGTCAGCATAATAAATAATTAGAGTGAGCATTACAAGAATTCTCTAGGAAAGAATTCTCCAAAAGACAGATCCTGGAGGTGTTTGTTTGTTTTGCCTACTACAGTCTGAGCCATTTGTCAGGCAAGAGTTTTAGTAGGTTTCCTGGGTTGGGTTAAGAGGGAAGGAAATGCCCTCCCCATGCTCAGATTTTAGTGGGTCCATCAGAGTACATTTTCTAGCTATCACCTTGGCTGCCATGATGGACACCAAGCAATGGGGTGGGGAGGAGGAATGAGGGTGTCCCACTCAGATCCTCCTCCCCCTGCCAAGGCAGCCACCCTTTAGCTGTTGTGCTGCCTACTAACCCCTCTCAGCTGTTCTCTCCTCTGAAGAAATATCTTGGAACCATCTTACCTGGAGGCTTAAAAGGCTATACCACCACCTCCTCACTGACCCCCTCACCCCAGGAGGCCAGTGATTGGGTGCCCAGTGGGCACCTGCCCTGTTTTCTTGAAATCGACAACTGAGTCTATACCCTTTGATTTCCTTACTAGAGAAGGTTATCACTATTCTTGCTGTCTCCCTCATCCATCTAGGGCAAGATTTTGCTTGAAGCCATATTCTGACTGAATCTCTTCCTTCTCTCCACCTCTCCACACTCCTTCCAAGGCCCTTCCCAAGTTCGAAGGACTCGACTTCCCTTCCAAGGCTATCAGGGGTTCTGACTTAAGACAAAGGAGTTTCTTGGAAATTTCAAGTAAACTATTTGGATGGGAATAAAAAGAATACATTTGTTTACTATATGATTTAGATCTAGCCAAGGAGGGTTTTGTTATGTTACTGGGGGTGGAACCAGAGGATGGAATGAATTTCTTTCCCTTCTCCAACTGAACCATTAAACAGAAAGTACTTCTTCTGATTGCCAAATTCAGTGGACAACATGAAAGTAGCAGTGGAAAGTAGCAAAGCCTGTCACGTTCTCCCCAAAATGGCCCATTTGAGTGATTTTAGGAGAAAAGACAGAACTGAGACGTTAGCTTCCCAAGACCTTCTAACCAGCCAATGGTGACTGATGCTAAATCTTGTGAGTTCCACTAATTTTTCTAAGAGTTTTGATACTCTACTCAGTAGGTCTTTTAATTAAACAAATACATACATGGGATGGTCATGTAGTCATGCACCCATTCAGCGCCACTGAATGCATGATTTGAGGGTAAGAAGGCAGGCAATAAAGTGAATATTTACCTGAAAGAGTATTAGCTAAATAAAACCATCATCATTGTGATTACAGTTCACTGAACATTCTCCTCTTCTAACCATGGCAATTCTCACTTCTAACCATGGCAATAGTGCTCACTTCCAGAACACTATTCATTTCAGCTGTGTTTATGTGACTATATTAACTACAAATGGTATTGGGTATTTGAAGTGTTTGAGACCCACTTGCTTATGGTACCCTGGAGATGTTTACTTCATCTATTACTGGTAAATATCTGCTATCTGCCTTAAGTAGGGTGACCAGACGTCCCGATTTTGGCGGGACAGTCCTGCTTTTCAACAGTTTGTCCTGCATCCCATGGCGTTTTAAAATAGTCCCGATTTTTGGACAGAATGCACGAACGGGCTGGAGAACAAGAAGGGAATATATGGTTTTCGGCCGCCATATGGCTATTTTGCCAGAATATGAGTTTTATATTATTTTTGTTAATTTAATGTTAAACTGTAATAAATAATTGCTGACAAGTGATTATCGAGAACTGCTTATCAAAGTTTGCCTTGTTGTCAGGCCCTGCCCTGCACCAGGCCCTGCCCCGCTCCGCCCCCCAGCCATGTTGTCCTGCCTTACAGATGTTAGAATCTGGTCACCCTAGCTTTAAGCCATGAAAATATTATACATTTCCTATATCTAAGCTATAATATTTACCTTTTACCTCTAAATATTGTTGCTGTGTAGGCTTTCAATATGTATCTTTCAACAGGCTTGAATATTAACTGTGGGTAAGATTACTTTCTCTCTCCCTTTTGGCTGCCTCCTTCAGCTGTAACAACTGACAGGACAACTATCCTTCAACACAGTAAATCACACGATTTTATCTACTTTTCAAGAGAAGTCAAGAGGTTCGTAAAGAACCGAGCAGAAAACCGTTTCAACCTAATGAGCATTCTACTGTTGCAGTAAGTGCTAAACATTGAGCATTTAAGGATTTTTTTTTTTTTTTAGAAATAAATGCTTGTAACTAAAAATTGCTAAAAGTTAAATTAAGAATGATTCATGTAAGAAATGCCTCTTGGAGAAAGCTGAAAAACTCCAGTGATTTTTCACATCCTTTAGAAACTTTTTAAAGTAATGCAGAGATCAGTTAGCACTTGGATAGATGTGAAAAACATGTGGATCACAGATGTTCTTTGGAAAAGAAAATCATTAGTTCTTTTAAAATGGCTAATAATGATAGCTAATTCCTAAACAATCACACTCATGCTGGTTTAACAAATATTTCAGAAAGAGCCCTGACTCATTCAACAAATATTTTGCCCATATTGTCACTGCTGTGTCTCTATACTTATGAGATGGATCTTTATTTTTATTAATTGCCCATGACTAACATAACATTTCCAGTAGTTTGCTATTAACCTTTGCCCTTAAATAATACTTCTAATTCCTTATCTAAAAATAATGCGATGAATTATAAGTTGAAGCATGTCTCTGCTAGCCTTTCAAGACACACGATGATTTTAACAGACTAAAATCAGATGCTCCTTAGAAAAATATTTAACGGTGCAGCTGGGAACTGTTAGCTCTGCGAGGGTATTCCAAAAAAACAAAAAAACTAAAAGCAAAAAGGGGGGCTGCTTTTCCTGATGTGCTTATCTCTTAAGGAATAATGGAAAACAGACATTTTGACATGTTAGTTCTTTGTCAGTGCAGAGAGAAATTGGCTCATTCCCAATTTACACTGGCAAAAATAAGATTAAAATATTCTAATACTATTTAAATACCTCGGAATATTTTGACTACCTCCAATCCTATTGATTGTGACTCTATTAATGATGACAGTAATCTGATCTATGTTTTGTGAAAAGTGACTAAAGAAGCCAAATGCTCTCTCATTACCCAATACCTTTTTCTAGGTCAGTTTTCTATAAGCGATATCATGAGAGCAAATAAACTTGGGGAGACAATGAGTCTGTTAGAATATATGCAATATCTGACAAACAAAAATAATGATTCCCAAAGTGCTACACTGGCTTTTAAGTTGTAACTGTACAGATTTCCTTGGGAGAAGAGTGATGAGGAAGTGAAATGCCTTGCTTTGTTGCAAAATGTGAACATAATTATGTTTTGAAGAGAGGTCTTTGGGACTTGATAGATTATTAGACCACAGGCAAGAATGGGAAACTACTCTTAAATTAAATTAGGTCACAACTGTTCCGAATAGTAAAAATGGTAGGATAAACAGCCTTACGAGACCGATCCATTCTCAGAAAACTAAAATGGTACAAAGATCAACCTAAACTTTAAATGTAGTAAATTTGCCAAGCAACATTACGCTGCATATAAAGAGGGCAAAATATAAACAGTAGCCACATGTAAATAAATTAGTAAAACTTTCAGGATGTTACTACTTTTCAAACTGACAAAGTTTAATTTGACACCTTCTGTTCTAAACCCTTTGTTTCTATTCAAAATCACGCCTTGAGCTGTTGCTATCAATCACAGCACTCTCCTATTACTTAAAAAAACTGGCATGGACCCTGAATAAGCTGAAAATGCCATGCAGATGAATTCTGAGATAATATGTTCAAACCTGTTATATACAACACAAATCCTGTAAAGTTATGTATTGTAAACCTACATTTATTGAGAACTAAAAGTCTTAAATCCATCTGCCACAAAGGAAATACTGTTATGTACTTTATAGTAACCAAGAACCATCTGCAAATGTCTTGCTACCGTAAGCAAGAAAACGGTGCAAGATGCGAACCCTAAGATGCATGAAATAAATAACATTCTTTTGAGGGGTTTTGGTTAGGGATCTCTTAAGGAAATACAAGAATGCGGGGGAGAAAAAAAAGGAGAAGAGAAAATGCAGAGTAACTGCCAAATCAGTACTGCAAAAAAAAGCAAAACAAATTCAATGACAACACAATGGCAATTTATTATGGTCCATGAAACACATGACTGTATGCTCATTTTAAAGGAAAAATTAGCAGTTCTAAACTCAATATTCTAATGATGTGCTTTACTGACAGAATCTTGTTGTACCACATTTAAATAAAAATCCTGGCACCTTCATCTCTCAGCTGCTAATTTCCAACCAAACTCAATCTCTGATTTCCACTCCACTCT